GTGTGGTGTGTGGTGTGTTGGTGTGGTCGTGTGGTGCTCGGTGTGTGTGTCGGACGTGTTTGTGTGTGGTTGTGTCTTCTCTCTCTTCTCTAGGGTATCCTTTGGGGCCACTACAGTCAGTCTAGCTGCTCAGCGGTGGCAGGGTGAGGCTGCGCTCATTTTTTTGCCTGTGTAGCCTCCGCTCATTTCTACCTCCTGGTTCAGATTGGTAGAAGCATCCGCCTCAGCTGTCCTCAAGCTTCGCCGGCTCTGTCTCTGCTCTCTCAAACTCCGTTCTTCATAAGAAAGCCGCAGTGTCGGTACCCGATGAAATAAAAAAGATTGAAATTTCGCCCACTTTTAAAACAGCCTGCACCTATCCAGTTGTTACGTTTATTCCTTTCTCAGCTAAAAAAGAGACGACTCCTGACCATGTCTCACTGGCCTTATGGCTGACTACCTGAGCTCCCACATTTCAGGATGGTCAAATGACCAAATGTCTTTTTGGAGGGGGGGGGGGGGGGGGAAGTACCTTCAGCCTTAAAACGTTCTGCATCAGAGGATAAAAAGCTTAGATCCATCCATTTAGCCACTGTTTAGATGGCAGCAACACAAACACATTCAAGCAGATTCAGAGACAGACGGAGAGAACACTTCTCCTTATATGATGGTAGGATTATGTGGAAACTGGGTTTGAATAAAGCTCCAGTGGGACAGAGTCCAAGAGAAAGAGCTATCCCTAAGAATGAACGGGTGCAGCTGGAGCTTAGAGAAGGCAATGCTGCCACACACGCACACACTACAGCTCTCAATAATCCAGGGCTATTACATAATGATGTTTTAAACTGGCACCGAGTCAAAAACATAAAAGGCATCCTTTTCAAATAAAATGATCACAATCATATTTTCCACATAAAATGAATGATTATATGCAATAAAGCTGCCACAAAAGTTGTATGAATATTAATTATCTTTAGCAAAAGGATGCCTCAAAGCTATTTCCACCATCATCAGTAGTATTTTTTTTTTTTTTTTTTACCATCAGTTGATTAATCCTGTCCTGTAGTCTCTCCTCTGATTGGACTTTGAGGAGATCCACCTCCTCTAGGAAGTGCTGACGTTGCCTTGATGACTCCTCGTCAAGCTCTCTGCGACATGCCTCCAATTCCCGCGCAGAGGCACCCCTCAACTCCTACAGCAGACACATGTCATGTATTTGTTCAATTCTGCCAAAACTAAAACACGTCGCACAACTCTTCTCCAACACACCGCGCTTTATAAAACAAATGTTTTCAGCCATCTTGCTTTCATCAGAGTGGCGCTTGAGGCAGTTTCCAGTTTCCTTATATACACAACACGTTGATATGTTAGGCAAGATCGCTGAAGACATTTGTTGAATAAAGCATGGTGTGCTGGATATGCAAAGTGTTTTAGCTTGTTTTTAGTTTCAAAAAATGTTGGTCAAATGTTCGCATTTATAGAGCTTCTCCAAAAAGGAATAAATACTCTGTGCCTCCACGCACAGATACGCCATTATAAAGGATGAACAATAACTCAGTGTAATCCTTTCTCTAATGGGCTGTAAGAGCCATAGAGACAAGAACTCTACTGAAAACCATTATAAACAACTTGCTAGGCAGAGCACTAGACATTAATTCACCCTGAAAAAGACCGATTCAGTCACGACACACACCTGTAGCTGGAGTTGATGCTGTTCGATGAGTTGTTCTTTCTCTGCAGTGTAGGTTTGTGAGAGCTCCTGGAGAGCAGTGCTGTGTTGTTGCTCTAGTTCTAAAACCTGAGAAAGCACACAGGATGAAAACAAATTAAATTTGACTGACCATTAAATATCAAAATGGAGAAAGAAGGTTTGAAAAATCAAGATAAACCAGAGTGCTGGTTAAAGAGAGACAGAGCTAAACCCCTATCACAGAAGAGTTGTAATGTAATGTCATTTTATATTGCATTAACAATATACATAGTGATATATTTTTAGAAAATCAATAGAACATATAGATACAATCCAGTGAATCAAATACAAATTCAAGGTACTTCATCACACAGATGCAAAAATTATTAAATAGTGCAATAAACTAGAGCTGCTCAAGAGATTTGCACCATAGCAGGATGTTCTCATATTACCAAACCTAGCATATTTTGCTGTTATAAATATGCAGAAATTCTATATTTTCCACGCATGTCAGCATGTCTACTTCAAACTATTACGTCTTGCAATTATATTACCAAGACTGAACTAACATTGCATACATAATCAGCCTCTTCATGAGTAGACACTTATAATTTTGGCTTTTTAGGTGGATTATAAAACCACAGTAATGTAATGTAGGTTACCTGCTTCTTAAGGGTCTCCAGGGCTCTGCAGTGTTCAGTATCTAAGGCCTCTTTTTGAGCAGCCAGCTCAGTCTATAAGAACAAATTGTGAAAAAAAAAGAAACCATTCATTTAATAAGTCTTGTATTTTTGCTTATTGATTAAATTGAAGTATACCAGACGTCAACCAGCCTCTCACCTTGTGAACATGGCTGAGCTCTGCTGCCATGGCACTAAACTTCTCTATGTGCACCTGAGCCAACTCTTTCCTCAGTTCCTCCCTCATGGATAGCTGCTCTGCAGAATGGCGCTCCATTGTCTGCTGATGTTCTGACTTCTGGCGATTCATGTCTTGACGATGCTTCTCTTCAAGTTGCACCATTTCATCACGCAGACTCTGAGATTAAAAAGACAATAGCAATCAAAAGTACTTACAAACTGAGAAACCCGGCAATAGTGTGTACTTCTAGAGAATTTCAAACATTGCTAACATAAGGCTCAGGGTCACTTTTTACTTGAAGGAGTTTGTGTCCTTACTTGCACTTCTTTCAGGTATGTGGCCTCCAAAGTGTCCATATTACCCAGCATCCTCTTTTCCAGCTCATCCCTCTCTTCCTGGTGTTTGCGAGCTAACTCGGCTTCTAAAGCCTCCAGCTGAGCCTGGTTGGTCTCCTGAAAGATGGCCTCCAGACTTTCAACGTCTGCCTTTCGTTTGGAACTGACGGCTGCTTCCAAGGCAACAAGCTCAGCGTTGTGTTTGGATTCAAGCTCAACGGCCATAGCTGCAAGCTGATCTGTGTGACTGGCACTGAGTGAATCTAGTTGTGCTTTGTGTTTGGCACCGAGTGTGTCCATCTCTTGGGAGTGTTTGTTCAGTAGTGTTGCTCTTTCATGTTCCAGCTCAGTTTGATGTTTTTTCTTTAGCTCCGCCAGAGAGATTTCATATTTTTGGGCCAAACTCTGCTCCAACACTGCTTTTTCCTCTTGGAACCTGAACACAGACAAATTAAGAAAAAAAAAAGTACACAAAATCGTCAAAAAACAAAGCATTTACAAGGGTCTTCAACATGAAACTGGAGGCATTTTTGTTAGGAATTAAAGAAAATCAAACCAGTCCCCGGTGACTTGGGCTACACAATTTTCAGACCAATTTTTGCTGAAATTTTGGCATGTACACTAAATTTCACAACAACTAAAACTAACTAAACAACCTAAACTAGGTGTGTATTTTAGTGAACTGAAATATAGAAATATAAAATAAATAGACATGGAACTAATAAAACTAAAACTAAACATTTTTAAACAATAAAAATTAAACAGAAATGAGCAAACTCATTCTGGAAACTAAATCAAACTAAGCCCAAATCCCCTATCTGCACCTCTTTGTGTGTATGTTCTAAGTAAAAACACACAAACAAAAAACAAAACATGCTCAATGTAACAATACAAGCATGACTAATGTTTCAGGGTCTATTTAACCCCTGACAAATCATTGACCTCCAGCTTTAATCAAGGACATTGAGCCTCTCACCTCTCTTGGGCTTGGTGTAGCCGCTCCTCACCCTGCTCCTGAAGGAGAGCAGTGAGTTCCTTGATATCTGCTGCCATGCAGCTCTTTGCCCTTTGCAGCTCACTGTCATACTGGGCCTCCAGTCTCTGCCTTACTATTAGGACCTGTGGACCTAAAAGACAAACATGTTACAAACGTATGGAGAACCACTACTTGGTGTATTCCATTTCCAAAACTTCTAATCTGTCTGGAAGCTATAATGTAATGAACTAATATTATACTGACAACCCATGTGAATCTTTCAAAAATGATCTTACTCTCATCGCTGTCCAGGGCAGCCTGTAGAGACTTTAACTTCTCTTTCTCCTCGTGAAGTGCTTTTTCAAGGCATGTCCTCTCCTTTTCAGTGTCTCTGTCAAGGTCTGATCTGAGGGCAGAGAGCTCAGCTTCATGCTTCTCTTGGAGCTCTTCTCTCAGCTTCTTCATCTCCTCCTGCACATGCTCTCGCTCTTGTTTCAGAGATTCCTCCAGAAGAATGAGCTCCCCAGCAAATTCCTGTTTCAACTGTAGGAGTTGGCAAAAGCATGCACATAGGTTTAATGATACTATATGGGAATTTCACACCACATTACTTATGTTTCTGTATAACTATCAGTATATTTTGTACCTTTCTAGCGTGCATGCTTGTACATGAGTGTGTACCTTTTGTGTGTTCCTTTGCATTTCTGCATCATGTTGTTTACTCAAGGCAGCCAATCTGCCCTCCAGGTTGTGGATGATGGTCATCCTTGTCTGCAGCTCCTCAGTGTGACACCACATCCTTTGTTCCACTTCCACCTAATTAAAATGACCATAATCTCATTATATTACACTCCATTAACTTGTGTGTTAATCTGTTGTATAGATCCTTTCTCACCTCAACCTGCTTTGCTGCCTCCAAACGAACTCTGGTAATCTCTGCAGTAGACATTTGAGGTAACCGTTATTTAACTTAAGCTATTCCACAATACAACATGGTACACGTTTGTATTTTAGAATGTGTAAGTGTGAAGTACCTTGTAAGTGACGGTCAGAAAGTTTGGCTCTGAGTTGCTCCAGCTCCAGTGCGTGACGAGTCTTCATTTCCTGCAGCTCATCATAGTAGTGGTCAGTGAGGTCGGAGCGCATCTAATGTACAACAAGTAAATGAAGCATTCAGGCACCAGTATACTCCATCAGAACTGTTTGTCGAGCTGTCAAAAATAGCTTTGGAAACCCTCTCCATCCACATAGTTCAGATGATCAATTGGGGGGGGCTATCTCCATTCATTTCTGCAATTTTCTGAAACTGACTATCTAACATTCACATTATCTTCACGCTGTGATTGGCCAGCTGTTTGATAGCAAAAAAGGAGCAATGGTCTGAATTCCCTCCAGCACTCTTATTTCATTTTCTGAAATGATTTTCTTTTACAAAATAGTTATAAGCGAACATAACCTGACCATAAGGGGATTATGTAGGCAATCTGAAAGAAGGGCTAAAATACAATAAAAAAAATTCAGGACAACATAGATTTCCAGGATAGTGGTCATTTTAATGAATTGACTGGAAAACCTGTCTCTGAATTTCCAGATTTTCCAGGACCAGTGGGAACCCTGGTACTGTGTGCCAAGAACCTCCCTTGTATTAGCTTCTTATTTTATTTGGTATAAACAAAGATATTAAATATTAAAGGGTTGAGTTTTGTGTCTGACCTGTTGCACCTCTTCCTTAAAGGAAAGAGCCATTGAAGATCTTAGATCGGAAAGCTCCATTGTGTGTTTCTCCTCCAGCTGAAGGTGCAAACTTTCAAGCGCTTCCTGGATGGGACATAACATGATGTTTAGGATACCTAGTGATCAAAATCACCAAACTAATGCAGTGAAATGCTCAGAAAAAATTAACTCTACTGTTTTGTGAAACATCAACATTCAATTAAGAAACTTTGACAGCGGCTAATTTCAAAGCACTTCATACCACACATTTATCTAGCAACAGCTACAGTTTATTATACATTTGCTATGTGCACACCTTGTGTTTCTCCAATTTGAGGCCAGTATCAGAAAGCACATGCTCTTCTTCCTCTTCAGCTTGGCCTTGAGATATGAAACTGAAACAGAGAGGCATTGATATTAAAATAATTTCATCCAAGTTTGTACATGCTGCTCTTAAATACAGACCTACTGGCATACCTGTCATCTGTGGTTTTTAACACAGATTCCTCCAAGGCTCTTTCCACCAGCCTCAGTTGGAGCAGAGCAATTTCCTCTCTGTAGCTCTCCTCTGTTACCCGCAATCGCTGCTCAAAGTACCTAAAGGAGGATGAAGGTAAATTATGTATAATTTGCACAGGGTCAGCGAAATGGTAGAAAGAGGAAATTCAACAGATAACTGACAATATTGTAGACTGTGGGCAATACAAGGCTGTACGACCATAGTTACAGCTGGTATCAGTTTATATTCTTAACATCACATTTCAAACATGGATAGAGAAGAGGACTTTTGTGAAAATAAATGAATCCAGACAGTGTGTGGTCTGTGCCTGGGTGACTGTGCTCTCATACCTCCTCAGGCTTTCCAGCTCAGCCTCATTCTGCTCTTTGATTTCCTGTTTTTGATCATTAAACTCTGTCTTAAGGCGCTCAATGTCGTCAACGCGAGATGAGCGAGCGAGCAGCTGCTCCTTCAGCTCTGTGAGAAATGAGTTGGGCAACCAAGACAGAAAATGGTAAGAAGACCGTAACTGGAAATACACGCATGCAGTGGATGTCTGAGAGTATAGTTTTACGTTTTTTTCTCTGTAATATCACATCAGAAACAGCCGATGTTAATAAAGCAACATGTTTTCTTTGTTGTCTTTTGCAGTAGATGAATGTGTATCAATCTCACCTCCCAACTCTTGACGACTTGTCCTCATGCTCTCCAACTGGGTCCACAGCTGACCTACTTCCTGTTCTGACCTCTGTTTCAGCAGGGTCTTCTCCTCCTGTAGGCGTAGAACCTGATGTATGGAAAAGGAGAAAAATTTGTTTTGAAAGTTTCCTATTGTTTTAGACTGGTGCTAGCTAAATGAATGAACTATCTGTAAAATGAAAAATATATGTATATTAAGTTATGTTAATCAATGTGCCTGTGGGGCCTGTGTACTGAAATCAGAAATAAATGGCAACTTAACTACATGTTGACATGTTTGAGTGAACTCACCTCTTGCTGCAGCTGGCGTTCCTTCTCCTCTAGGTGGAGTGCTTGTTGCTCTCTCTCCTGCAGCACTGCCTTATGACTCAAAACCAACTCCTCGAGAGCACCTAAGCAACATTTACAGAGTGAGCAAACCAATACAATGAACAATAGTGTTCAACTCAATGATAATAAGAAATTAACATAATTAATGCTGGTAAAAACAAAAAAGTAGGTGGTCTTCAAAATCATCATGCCAGTCAGCATGATTGTCTCTTACATATATTTTTATATTTTGAGGCAGAAGATACACATTAAAATGATAACAGTTTTCATTATTAAAATAACGATTTTAAAAGATTGTGCAGTCTTGTTGGAAGCATGCAGGGGAGGGGAAGCTGGAAGCATTGTAGAAGGATGCAACTCACGGGCAGCAGCGTCTCTGTCAGCCCAGGCTTGTTTCAACTCCTCCTCTTGTTTCTGGTTTTGCTCCTTACTGGAGGTCTGGAGTTCTTCCAGCCTGGCCCGTGACTCCTGCAGCTCTGATTGGGTCTGAGATAGAGCTGCCTGGGCTTCAGTTAGAGCTTTTTTGGTCTGGGTGAGAGAGGCCTGGATGCTGGCAAGTTCGGTCTGGGAGGCGGCAAGGCTGTTCTGGGTCTCTGATAGAGATGTTTGTAGGTTTGACTGGTTGCTCTCAGTGTCTTTATCCCACTGTGACCTTAGAGCCTGAGAAAAAAAGACCAAGATAAATTGAAATATATAATCAAAATGAATCAAACATGCTATAACTTCCAAAATATGCAATGAAACAGCAGTGCAGATGTTTAAATAGTTCATAATTCAATTACGCTTTCAACATTTTTTATAAAGTGTGACCTGTATCTCTTTGGCCTGCTTTTCTTCCATGACCGCTCTCTCCTGAGCAACAGAAGTCTCCCACTGCTGCTTCAGCTCATCTGAACATTCATAAAAAGCAAATGAAAAGATTCACCCACGTCAGAGAATTTGAAGGTTACAGTCGTCATTGTGCTCTACTTTGTCCTGAACGAGCTTCTAAAGAATGAGGGTGACTCACCCACACACATGCTGTGTGCACCCAAGGGCGAACATGAAAAAGAACACTGACTGAACAACTTATAAAAGCACTCACTTGTGTCTTGTTGGTGCAGCTCACGCAGTTTCTCCAGCTCACGCAGTTCCTCCTGCTGTTCCTGGTTCTGCTTTCTAAGCTGGTCCAGTTCTAACTGATGCCGGGCTTGCAGGAGTGCACTTTCCTGGGAAAATGTTTCCCTCAGGGAGGTCTGGACTTTGGTGAGAGTAGATTCCTGCTCCTGCTGAAAGTTTACCTGGGAGTGCTCCAGCTGTGACATGTGGACATTGGTCAGGCTCAGATGCAAGGTTTCAAGCTCACTTGTCTTTTGGACCTAAATGAAATGAAAGTAGAAGGAATGGCTTGTGTGAAGGCTTTTCCTCAGGCTAGTAGTGACTGTAGGTTGTGGGAAAAAGGGCTGTGAGTTACTTTTTAGACATTTAGCTTTTACCCTCCATACTAATTTATAACTGGTGCAAAGTAGAAAAAGATAAAAGTTCCAAAGTAGCATAATACTGATATTAAGTACTACTAAGTAGTACAAGTCATTATAACTGACAAACTTAGAAAATAGAACAGACAGAAGTGATATTTTGTGGCTTGCTGTAGCTGGAGATGTCTGTAAATACAAATAGCCTACCTGTGCCTGCTGCAGTTCAGCCTGGTGGGCAGCCTCCATGCTTTCCCTCAATTGAATAAGTTCTTCATTGTGTTTGGCAGACAGCTCTGAAACCATCCTCTCGTGTTCACGTTCAGTCACCTGAGGGGGAAGACAGAGAATGTGAGAAAATACAAACACAGCAAAATACAAAAACGTGACATAACTTATGGGAGATTAATTCTGATACCTGTTTGATTAGGCTGATCTGTCTTTTCTGTTCTTCCTCCATAATGGCCTGCTGCTTCAGCAGCTTTGACTCTAGGTCAGTGTTTGACTGAGAAATCTAGGAATGTGTGCAGATAAACATAAAGGAGATTACAAGACTAGGAGAAGAAGTCACACGGAGGTTTAGCACCACAAAGGCTACACAGTCTTTTTTTATTAATGTTGACAAATTTAATCTAAATATTTCCCTCCATGTTCATGAGAAAACAGTAAAAATGTCCTTTATGATGCTGAATATATACATATATATATAGTATAATATTGTATTATATAATACATACTACACAATTAAACAATTAAAGTGAAACAAAGGGGTCCTGTTAGTTTAAAATTAAAACTTGTAACTTTCAACATTCCACATTATAAAAATGAATGCACCATAAATCTGTAAACTAGCAGTCTTTGAAGTCTGTTTTCTTTTTTTTGTTAAATCAAACCTCTTGCTGATGTTTTTCCACCAAGTCTTTTATCTCCTGTTGGTGAGATGTCTTGAGCCTTTCCGTAGCCTCCTCAACAGCCAAGACCTGCTTCTCCAGGAGAGCCTTCACCTCCTCCTCCATCTCCCTCCTCTGTTCCTCCAGGTGATGCTTCACATCAAGGAGCTCTTTATCCTTCTCCTGCCTCTCTTCCTCCCATTTCTCCCTCCCTTCAGTCAACTGTAAAAATTATTCCGTACAAAATGTAAATCACTTGATTGCCAGTGGCAATTCAAACAGTTCTGCAAAAATGAATCAACTGTTATTACATATACATATAACATTATATATCTCACCTCAACATCTTTGGCTTTTAGCAGGTTCTCAAACTGCTCCAGTTCCTCCTCTAAGACTTGTTCCATTTGTTTTATCCGTTCATCCATCTCCACTTCTTTTCTCCTGAGCTCTTCCCTCTCCTGCACAGCCTGGGCTTGGGCCTCCTCCAGGTTGGCCAGGTTTTGTCTCATACAGACAATCTCCGATTCCAGTTCATTCTTCTCTTTTTGAGCATTGTCCAGACTGCCCTGGCTCTTCTCCAGCTCTTCCCGCAACCTTTCCACCTCTGTTTGAACATTTAGAATCTGTGCACGAGTAGTTTCGAGCGCCTTTAATGTTTCATTCAATTCCATAGTCCTTTGACTTAGTAGGGATGCTGTGGTTTTATTTGTTGTTTTTGTTTCTTCTAGCTCGGACAGGAGAAGTTCACAGTGAGCCTTGAAAAGGAAGAAAGGGAAATTCTTTTAGCTTTTGGTACATTATACAATATATTTTTCTTATGACTCAATTGCCTCCTCCCTTTGAAATGTTTAAACACAAATATCTTTCTGCTATTGTGTAGTATTATTTTTATCATTTAAAAAAAAAAAAAAACTGTATGCAGAGACTGGCATGTTTACATTCCTATTAAGCTGCCAACACAAACCCACTTATTACGCTGGTATACCTGCAGTGTTTGCAGCTGGTTGTCATCTCTGAGCCCTGGGCTGTGTTTGGCAGATTCTGAAGCCTGCTTTATCTCCTGCAGAGACAATAACAGCAGCTCCTGCTGTTTTTGATGAGACGGGAGTGCAGCCTCCTTCTTCCGATCATTTCTAAGCTCCCCTACCAGTTTATCTCCCTCTTCTGATAAAGGGGTAGCCGGGACCAGCAGAGAGGTTTCAGCAGCCTTCTTTCCCATCGACATTACTGCATTCTCCTTTTCCTTTTCTTCCATTAAGGCATTGAGTTTGTTCTTCAGGTTGTCTTGTTCATGGTCTTTCAAGGTCACCTCCTCCTCAACATGTCTCCTCTTCTCCTTCTCCTCTTCAAGTTCCCAGAGAGCCTGCCTGAGCTCTTCTGTTACTTGGGCCCACCTAAACATAGAAAGATATTAAAAGGGTATTAATTTGATTCAAATAAAAGAATAGCTTTGAACATCCAAACCATAGAATTTACTTTTTTAGATGAACTAACATTAGTAGATGAGTTTAACCAAAGAATATTCACAATATCACAATATCCATTGTTTTTTTACTTGGAGGAGAAAAGAATCTGAAAATGTATCTGGAAAAAACAATTAACCACATGCCCTGGTTAACTTAATTACTGTACCTGTCTCTGGCCTCCTCCAGCTCTTCAGCAGTCTTGATGATTTCCTCTCTCAACACATTCAAGTCCCTGTCCTTAAGAGCAAGCTCCTCACGGAGCTCACCACATTGCTGATTCAGCAGCTCTTTTTCCAGGTCGGTCTCCTCAAACTGCTGCTCGGACAGTTTACTCATCTCTAGTTCGGCGGAAGTGGAGTTGTGAAGCCACTGAGATGGAGACTGAGGGTTGGAATTATCAGCCACAGGGACGCCAGGGGAGCAGAGTGGGCTAGAACTGTTGTGGAGGTTGTCGTTTTCTTCAGGGAAACGGTTCGAAATTGACAACAGAGGCTCATCTCCCAACACTTCACTGTTCAGCTCAAAACTGTGAAAAGAGGCACAGACACAAATAAGGAAATTTAACTAAGCTACAAAACAGAAACATGTACACGGATAACAAATAGCATTTCTCTAACCTGTAGTCCGCAGAGATGTCCAGCTGACTGCAGTGTTCAAAGCTTTCATTCACCACGGAAGATTGTGAGTGTGCAAGAGGAGCTGAAGACAAGTAGCGCTCCATCGTAATATCCCCAGGTATTGATACATTCGTGTCGTCGTGTTCAGGTCCGCTTTCCAGATTAGCCTCATCTATGCTAAACCTTTCATCACAACTAAAACCAGCTTTCGCTTGGTTCTGCCGATTCTTAGAAGCTTTGAGTCCGTTGACCTCTTCCTCTCTAAACTTCAGTTCTTTCTCCCTCTCCTCCAACACCTGCCTGACTCTCTCCACCTCCTCTCTGTGCTCCTCTTTAAGCCTCTGTATCTCCTCCTCCTGTCTCTGTCTTTCCTCCTCAAGGCTCTGGAGACGAAGGGCAGAATCTTCTTCCTCATGAAGCCTTTTCCTCAGCTCCAGGACTTCTCTGTTCAGCTTCTCCTTCTCTATCTTGTACTGCTGCATCTCAAGGCACTGAGTTTGGACTGAGCTAAGTTGGACCTGGAGGTCTTGCAACTGTGCCTCCCTTTCTTTTTGCTCCTCTTCCCTGCCTTTCTTCTCCTTCTCCAGTAAAGAAAGCACATGTTGGTGTTTATCCATCTCCTTCGCTAGTTCAGCACATACGCGTTGGCTATTCTCCCTCTCTTCTTCCAGCTCAGCCCTCAGTTTACGGAGAACAGCATCTGTATCACTTTCAATGTCAGTGCTGAAGCCTTCAACACTTGACTGGAAGCCAGGTCCTGCACTCCCTGATTCCCCTGATGGTGCCTCCTTAGGATTGATGTCTGCATCTTGAGAGCAATGGCCATGCTGATGCTGTTGTCTATGACTGTTGAGGACTTCAGGCCCTGACTGACTTTTGATGCGAAGGAACTCTACACTGGTCTGTGTGAAAGAATTCAGAACATATGTTCAGTGGCTGTGCGGGTGAATAGTTATGTGCATATTTTAGGCAACAATAATCCTGAAGTGCTGCCAAAGATTCAGCTTTGAGTCGCACTTACCTGCTGGAGCTGTCTCTGTAACGCCTGAATCTGCCCAGCAAGTGACTGTGCCTCTAGCTGTACCTTGTCTCTACTGGCCAGGGCCTCCTGCAGGTTGGAGCTGAGCTTGGCAATTATCTCATTACGTTTCTCCACAGCCTGCTGTAACTGCTGCAAGTGTAATAAAAATATGGGTCAGTTTTATTAGCATAGGCATAAACACATCCATACTTTCCACAGATCAAATACATAATGCAAAACAAACTAATTTTGTTCAGCGGCCTGCCAGGTAGCAGGTTAAACCACAGACTACTTGTAAACCACTTCTAAAATGTAACCAGTAAAATGCTGTGCAACGCTATAGTCAAGCCGATCTGAGGAATTAATGGAACATAATTTTAGACACGTTACAACATTTACACTACACATAAACATGCATAATGTAGATGAACTACGCTTTTCTGCATGGCTGCACTGATCTGAAAATACAGCAGCTAGTGTTACATTGCCCATGGGTTGGTGATGACACAGAACACACAAATTCACACACCATAACAAGACTCCTCCTGTCTTATGGGTAAACAACGCATGAAGACAAATGAATCCATCTGATCAAACAATTCTAAATACAGCGCAACATGGCATGTAAACAGGAACACTGATTCATAGCCCAGTTTCCACTATCTGAATATGCTCTCAATGTGTATGTATGCAATATATCATACGCTTAAAAGAGCAAGAATTTGCTATCCTCTGTAAATGCTTAAACACTGACTGCGTATACCTTGAGCTGCTCTTTTCCAGTGAGAGCAACTAGCTCCTCTTCTCTAAAATCTTCCACAGGGGACGGGCTTTGCTCTGGAACGGGGGGCTGTTCCTTCTGTCGCTGGTTCTGCTGAACCTGCGATTTCTCTGCCTGCTGGGGTTCCTAAAGGAATAAATGGTTTTAGAATAAAGTAAAAAAAAAAAAAATCCACTTTGCCTGATAAAAATAGATGATTGATGAAAAAAGTCAGTCAAAAATGTGTACATCTGATATTGCGGGTGAATTTATCCTTTAAAAAAAAAAAAGCCAGTAAATAGTGCCACAGTTAATCCTGACCACGTTGCTATGACAACATGCCCTACAGGCAACGTGATGGTTAGTGACCCATTTCTCTAATGTATGTTTACCGAGCAGGGGGCACAGACCACTTGTTAAAGCAAAGTGTGAGCAAACAAAATTAGACAAACAGTGGAAGTCAGGCAGCGTGAACCGTGAACAGCCCTGAGCGATATCGTGCAATAAAGCAGTTTGTGTGACGAAAACGACCAGCTGTTTCAATTAATCCAAAAAAGTCTCACATCATTTATATACATTTACACACAAATCACATTTCTCATCAGTAACTATCACTGATGCATGACTGGTAATGTCTGTGTGACCCGTGGTGTACCTCATGGTTGGTCTTGTTGCTCAGCTCTGCATCACTGGCTGAAGGAGCTGCCGGTTCTACGCGACGGTCTTGCGCTGTGCCGTCATTCTGCGAGACAGTCTGGCCCTTCCTCTTCTGCGTCTTTTTCGCCGCCCCCGCACCGTCGCCTTTCGCCCGCTTTTGTCGGAAGCTAGCAAGCTGCGCAGAAAGGACAGCGAGAGGTAGACGGACACGTATGTCAGGACCACTGAGCACCACCACACTATCAGCATGGTGAAGCTCAGAGGTCAAGGGTGAGAGAGAACTATAGTCCAGATGTATCTCCTCAGGTGCAAAATCATGAAGTAATCAAAACATCATGCATAAGTGTGCTGACAGTCCTTGCTGTAGAAAAGAAAATAGATTGGCAGCCCTTATTTTGATGAGTCAGAGTTGTGCAACAAAAAAAAAAGGCAGTGCCCAATGAAGCAAGAAGAAATCCCAAACTCACACCCGAAATAGACTACACCATAGCCTGATGAGGTATCCGAGTTCGAAATGAGGTGATGGTGCTAAATACTCTCAAATCTCCAAAGGGCCGTATCAAACCCATGAGAAGTGCATATTTTAGTGGCACACATTGGACAATCTCTCAGCAGACCAGAAACAGCACAAGGTGAAAAGGGAAAAAAAAAAAAGTACACATCCTGAGATGGATGTAGATCGTTTTGCATTTTTTGGCATGAAAGTCAAAGTCAAAGACAAACTGGTTGACTGGAAATCTTTGAAACATCAAGTCCTCTATTAAATCATGAAATAAAAAATAAATTAAAAAAGAAGCAAAAATCAAGAATCTGAACCTGAGAAGTTCATTCACTGTGAAAAAAAATACATTATCCCCAACTAAGCCACGATATTTAGCTTTAATTCCAGAGGGACAAATCCACCTCAGGCCGTTTCTCTTTGCAACACATCGCTGTCGCTCTCTCTCGTCTCTTCTTTATGCAGCTTAAATCAGATTACAGCAGTTCACATTGTGACAGGGACCCTCGTGAAGCCCTCCATCAATAACTGACAGTCAATCATCGACTTCCTTTCTTGCTCGTGTTCAGACCTGTCAATTCTTCCTCATCACAGCAGCTCTATTGCCCAGTGGATGGAGATCTTGCAGTATGTAGGCAACAGCACAATGTGCCAAACCTTTCATCCTGAAACTCCCTACCAACGTACAGTGCAGAGAGCTCCACAAACTCTGGATAGAGGATGGCATGTGTCTAGACTAAGGAAGGAGGGTGGAGACTAGGAGATGCATTCACATGGAGAGGAGGAGACAGAGCTCTGTGTGTGGTGAACAGCATCAGAGTGTGCATGCTCAATTCAATTTGAGATTACACGGCCCTGGGAGAGCTACTTGTTGCTTTGTGTGATGAGTCACATGCATGTGCAATTGTTCATGACAACACTATGTGTGCATATGCACCAGTGTTTATTCTGAAGACATGTGACATGCCTGCTCATAAAACCACACTGTAGATTTATTTGTACTCCCATTTAGCGCCACACAATGCATCCGCAGCCATACAATCCTCTTTTGACTCTTAAAAGTCATCTACAATCATTCCCTTAACTCAACCACACTTACATTTCTTCCCACCTCAATTTTTGTTATCTGCTTTCCTACTCATTATCACTTAAAGCCCCACCCTTTGTGTCCTTCCATCACCGTGTTCGCCGCCTCCGCCTGCTACAATACACACCACATGTGAAAGACACATTAGCCAGATGAGCTGTGTTTTGCCCGAGGCCACTTTCGCACTACTTAGGGTCCGACTAACCGAAAGGCTGGAGCTTATTGTGGCCACATCAGATGTTACTGGACTGCTCAATGCGTCCATTGTGTTCTCAACAACAACAAGATGCCTCCCGGGATTTCATTCTTTTGTGCGTTTGCATTTATCCATGTGTAATTTGCGTGCCATGCTTTCAGTGTGGCAAATAATCAGAGGTTTCTGAGGTGCCAAATACAGTAAAGGAAACTGACAGCACTGCATCACCATAGCAACACCATTCATGTGAGATGCAAGTGCACCACAGTCAACCTTCCCAAATCCCGTGGGCTCACTGCACCACCTGATGGCCTGCAACCAGCATGACAGTGTATGCAAGGTGAGTCGACGTTACACATTGAAGTTATTCATGCGAAACAGGACAACATTTACTTTCAGGTCTACAGTTTCGATCATTTGCACAGGCCGTCATTATTTTAAGAGCAGTGGACTTAAGCATCAAAAGTTGACAGGCAGCAATCACATCATAGCGCAGACTACCAGAAGAAACCCCCGATTGCCCAACCAAGAGAAACAAAAAAGAAGAAAAAGCAAGAAGACCGAAATCACAAAGAAATAATTCTCACAGATTAAAAACAAAGTCAAATGTCTCTGCCAGTCACCGGTTTCTATACTTACCGACTGGCTTCGTGGCATGTTGGAGGATTTCTGTCATGAGGAATATCAGTGGTTCTGATGAGTATTATGCATCATACTAATGTACCACCCATTTCTTTTGAATGGGTTCTACCATGAGCTAGAGATGAACTACAACTACTAAGAAATGAAAAAGAAAAATATCTAGTCTGAACATGTGACCAAGTTTTAAATGTAGTTTTTATTAGACGTGACCTGGTTGTCAATACAGAGCAGGCAATTCTTGATTATTGGCCCATTACTAATATGGCTTCCCATTGAAGTAAACAGATGCTTTTTCAGTAGCAATTTTCACAGATCAGTGAAGAAATGCCATAGGGAATACTCCACCTCTCTTATGCAGTCACAAGCTCCTGTTTGTTTCACTTTTGACCAACTAAATACTACATCTTAAGACAACCGTGGGGTGGTGTAAAGAGCATTGTAAGAATGTTCAACAAATAAACACCTAACATTACGATTATGAGAAAGTTTATCATTGTTTTCAAGGCTGTGAGACTGTGCCACAATCCCTATATTACATTTATAGACCCGCAAACAACGTTAGCTGTAAAATAGTTTCTCTGTCGGTGAAAAAAAAAAAAAAAGGTGCTTGTTTATTGGGTTGCTAAAAGCATATTTTCTACAAAAATGCAACAGCAGGCAATAACTTCATGGAAGTTAATCTAACTGAACCATCGGATGCACCTGCACTGCACAGCTCAAACGCAACATAAAATACATTTTATAGGGTATAAACACCTCGCCTTTGTAAATAGAGTTGAAGTGCATTGTTCTGACATTGTTCAGAGATTGAATTCATTAGCCGACGACCTCAACTTACTTCACAACTGTTATTATCTTTAGCTTTGCGCAACGCCAGCTAATGATTAACCCGCGACATACGCGCGGCAAATGAGTAAAAGTTACGAGGGCTTTGCATTTAACTCGCAACCGGAATCTAAGCAACGACAAACAGAAGGGCAACATCATTTTGGAAGTGGGTGTAGTTGGCAGCGGACAGACGCAAAGCTACGACAAAAGAGTTGGCTAGCGTCAACTAGCATTCAGTATTAGCGTGTGTTAGCAACAAACCTTCGCTCTCCCAGCCTCTAGTTTCCTCTGCCGTTCATCTTCATCCATCTCTCGGTTTAAGTGGAGCTGTGAGAGGTTCAGGACATGCGTCCCAATTCAGCTGAAAGGCACAGCAGACCTTCTCTTGTAGCATAAGTCGGCTAAAACAAAAAAAATCTTTGAGCTTTCTTCGGGAACAACTGTCAACAGATAATATTCAATATGGCCGCCAAGACATTTCAACTCCGCCCTTATCCAGTTACCCGGAACGAGCGGACCAATCAAATCATCACGTTCCACCTCTTCAGCCAATAGAATCTGCGTTGCTTAAATATATTCCCGCACACTAAATAAACCGCCTCCTACTTTGAACGTCACTCAAAACTAGAAATCCAATCGACCAATTAAATGGCTGTGTTCAGTAGGCACTTTTTGATTGACGGCTCGTGTAGCCAATCAGAGGAGGCTAACGTACACCCGCTCGCTTGTTTTGAAAGTGAATGTACGGAATCCTCCACTGGCTGAGGAGTTTCCATGGCGATTGAACAACCCCAATTTAAGACGGCTGAGGCATGTCTTACAAAACTGGGTCAAAATGTTTAATAAGTATTTAATAAATACACTTATCTATCTTTCTAGATTAAATTACCCCAGAATATATCCAAGCAGGACTTTTGCATTTATTTTAGGTGTGAGTGAATGAACAAAAAAAAAATATATACAAATACAAATCAGAAGAAAATGTGGTCTGAACTAATTTGTTAATTTTAGGTGATGCTTAAAGTCTCGCTTCCTCTTGTCTCTCTCAGCATGGAAACCAAGTAGTTATGCAGTCAGTGGTAAGCAGGCGTGTCCCATGGCAACCACTGTCTAGCTCTAGTCTTGACTCAAACACACAAGTGTACACAAAGTCTGTGTGACTCCAAATGCCAAGATTTCAGGTAGGCTAAATGAGATATTAAATGCATATATTTACTTGTATGTTTGTGTCTACTATTTAAACCAATTATGTTAATTTTCTAGCACACAGAAAATGTTTTACTTACACTCCTTTATCAATTACAATCTTTTAGCATGACAGTTCTGCAGTTGATCAGATGACAAGACTCAAACTCAAACTTCTGCAGAAGGTAGGTAAGATGCTAGTCTACTGTTTGTTCAGATGGAAAGATATTGCTTGAATTTTTCATCAACATATTTAAGAAGAAATATCCTTTAATTACATTTCTAGAGACTGGAAAACAAAAAGGACAATATGGACGACAGAGCAGAGTCTGCCCAGTCTGCAAGTAAGATGACAGAAACTTTCACATTCTCCATTACAGACATTTAGCTGATACTAAGAATGACTTGGTACATGAAGGATAAAATAATATAATTTAAATACATTCAGTAGTAATATTAACCCTGCAGTAAATGGATATATGGGAGTTGCTAGAAAAGGCAGGAAGGAAGGTAAGGGAGTGGTTTCTGAGAACATGATTGTGTCTCCTCAGGAAGTTATGATCAGTATGAGCAGTTTGATCGACTTCAACGTGCACTGAGGCGAAAGCAGGACCTACTGCAAAGACTCAGGGTTTGCACAAAATCTTTATATTCCAAGTATACACATTTTCAATATTACCTTAAGACATTAAGATATATTTATATATATTTAGGAATACAAAACTATATTGTCAATAATTTCTCTAACTTAGCTCAAAGCATTTTACTGTTTTGCCATTAGTGTATACTTGTTTGTATTTGGCTTCGGTGTAGGAGCAGCACATGCTGGAGGACCTCAACAGACCTCACACCTGGGGAGGGTCACAAAGACAGTACAAGGCACATTTCTTCCCGGCCCCTCAACCGCCTCCACCACTCCCACTCTACCATCCGGCTCCTGCTCTGCCCTCCCTGCCCCTTCCACCACCCGCCCCACCTCAGCCTCCACGCATCATCCAACAGACTGTGAGACACTCAGCATTTAATCTCAAAAACACCCCAATCCCCCAGATTTGTTACTCTGTTTCTATGTGGTCTGTTATGTGTATTTAATCTTCTTATCCTCACCCTGCCCCCCTTATTCTCTTCTATTTTTGCGTCAGTTTCCTTTCACATTAGATATACTGACACTACTGCTCACACTGACTTGCAGTGAGTTTATGTATAACAGCGCAAATTAAATGTGCAAAATTATTCCCCCCTGTATTTAATTTCTCTCCGCAGCTACCCCAGCAGCCTGCCACTATCATACAACAGCTGCCACCACAGCAGCCTCTGATCACTCAGATTCCCCCACCTCAGCCCTACACTGCACCACGCTCAGGCAGCATTAAAGAAGGTATGCAACAGCAAAAAGAGATCTATCTTATGCGAGTCTTCCTGTATTCATATGTTTGTATATGTATGTGTATTTTGTGTGGTAGACATGGTGGAACTGATGCTGATGCAAAATGCCCAGATGCACCAGATCATAATGCACAATATGATGCTGAAAGCCATGCCTCCTACGGCTTTATCGCCACCTGGAGGGCCCACTCACTGTGCCCATCCAACTGCATATCTTGGGCAGGTACATGCAAAGACACAACACACACACACAC